TTTCTCCTTCTCTCTCTCTCCCTCTCTGCTGTAAGTACAAACTGTATTGTCAACTTTATTAAGAAAAAAATAAATACTTTTAGCATGGAATATCCCTTTCTCGGCCGAGCATAGCATTTGAGAAGAGAGGACATTGAATAAGGGACTGGAAGTACGCGAAGTGCTACCCACTTCAAAGAAATCCTTCAGACTCTCGATCGCTCATGAGGATGTTTTCAATCTCCCCGAGGACCGCGTTGGAGACCGACTTCATTGCCTAAATTCACATGAAATGTTGACTGAATCAGGGGGGGGGGGCGTTGTTATTCCAGTAAAAAAACGTAGGCAATCTGTGATTTTAGTAATTATGGCGGCTCTACTGGCTGGATATGTGTAGGAAAATTCGCCAGGCTGTAAGATGTGTCTCTTGGCGGGGTCGATCTGCCGACGTCCTAATTTTTCGCAGGTCACAGCGTGTAATGCGCCAGAAAGATGTAGACCACAATTGAAGAATACGTAGGTATAAGACATTCAAATTCTCCTATCCTTGATGAATGTTTGACAAGCTGACGTTTGATTTCAATAAGTTCTCATTTGTCCAGTACATGTATGCGCTAAAGGGATTAATTAGAAGCCGTTGGGGGCTGAATCAGGACTTGCTTTGAGAGAACGGGTGTCCTGACCGATTCATCAGTAGAAAATATTACCGAAGGATCAGTGAAACTCACCGTTCTAGGTGCTCTGAGAAAACGCGTTTAAACAAACTGCTTCACGGCCTTTCCCAAAAGCCGTAGTTGAGGTATTATTGACCTAACACAATGCAGAGAAGGTTGGGTGTGCCAATAGAAGCGAAGAGATAAATCCCAGGAAGCAGTATTGGAGAAGGAGAAACGATCGCTGGGACAAGAGCTTTTGTTAGTCTGATGTTTCGTATTTCTGCTCGGACCCATCATCAGAGACAAAAACAGACACGGATGGTTCACGCACAAGGGGCTGCAGTATTTATAGGAATCAATTCACGGCTCCCCCCTTCATCAGGGATCGTCGCACTTGGTGTGCCAATTGTTTGATAGCCGAAATTCGCGTCGTTAATTGCTGCAATTTCATCACGTGCGTTGGCTGTTGGTGTGATGATTGCTCGACCATCTGATCCACCGACCCTGGAGTTGGTAGAAGTGTTCACTTGTGCGCTCCCCTCGTGGCTAATTACTCCACCTAGGCGAAGTCTCAACACCGAGTATGGAAGGGGAAGTTTATTGCACTTGTTAATGGACTGGGGGCCAGTAAACCATGATTCAAGTAGCTCCCGGCTCACGCGGTTGTCACCTCTCGCGAGAATTTCGGCGTCGCCAAATTTGAATGTGTGGCCATATCTCGTTGAATGAGCCGCAACTTGAGAGCTGGCGTCATTTCTTCGCACTGTTGCAGCGTGTTCGGCCGTTCGCGTTCGGAGCTGTTTTCCGGTTTCTCCGGCCTGTAGTGTCCCTACCCCGGGCGTCTGCTGCAGCGCTGGTCCTCCGCGCATGCTTGAACGTGCGCACAGCAGCGTTAGCCATTACGCGGATATCCTGAGGCTCTGTTCAATGCTCACGCCGCGTTTGACCAATATCTAAAACCGAGAGACTGTGTCTGGCTCGGCCAATCAGGGCCAAATAAACCTGCCAATCAAGTTCAAGGTTGAAACAGACATGCACTCACTCAGGAGTCTCGGACATCAACATCTGCGGTACCGGACGTCCCGCCTCTTGTCCGGCTCCCAACGTGTTTCAAATTATTTTTAATTCACTTCGTACTGAATACTACCCTTTCTTTACTGGCGTCTAACTACTCTTGCTACCCGGGACCTGGCCTGAAGTTCACGGCAGCTGGGGTCTTCCTATGGCTTTGGCTGGCGCGACGGTATTCACGATTCATAATTCGTCTGATATGCATTCAGAAATGGATACGCAGTTCGTCATGTGCGTTTACCTCACCAAAGGAGTGTCTGACCACCAAATAGCCAGTTTAGCTGGTTCTGACGAGAAGCCACTCATAACACGCCTTAGATGTTGGAATTAGAAAGCAAGGAGTGAACATATGGCCCCCCGTCTTCATTAAGGTGACATGCCTACTTATTTCAGTCACGTAGGCGTGTCATATTGGGCTCACGGCGACGGTTGTGCTACTGTTAAAGATCAGGATTGGGTTCAAGACTAGGCTTAATTTTGCCTGCTTCAAACCGTTTCGACCAACCCAACCAGTGAACATGGGGTACCACGGTTCCGCCCGTTTACGCGCCCTTCGCATTTCTTATATTGCGAGGCTTGCTTTGGTACCTTGTTGGAGTAGTAAAACAGACCTACTGCAGAAATCTAGGCTTTCTCAGTGCCTTCCTCTAGATTCCCTTAATTACCGCCTTACCTGCCGCACTCATAAAACCCCCTTTAGCGTCCTCGCCTATTGCAGTAGTACATGTCAATAGAAGCGAAGAGACGAGTCCCAGGAAGCAATCTTGAAGAAGAAAACACGATCGCTGGGACAAGACGTTTCGGATTACCGTTCGAACCCATCATCAGAGACAAAAGCAGACACGGATGTTTCATGCACAAGGGGCTGCAGTATTCATGGGATGTATTCGCCATACTACCGCATACCTATGAATGTTCACGGCTCCCCCCTTCATCAGGGATCGTCGCACTTGGTGTGCCAATTGTTTGATGGCCGACATTCGCGTCGTTAATTGCTGCAATTTCATCACGTGCTTTGGCTGTTGGTGGGATGATTGCTCGACCATCTGATCCACCGACCCTGGAGTTGGTAGAAGTGTTCACTTGTGCGCTCCCCTCGTGGCTAATTATTCCGCCTAGGCGAAGTCTCAGCACCGAGTATGGAAGGGGAAGTTTATTGCACTTGTTAGTGGACTGGGGGCCAGTAAACCATGATTCAAGTAGCTCCCGGCTCACGCGGTTGTCACCTCTCGCGAGAATTTCGGCGTCGCCAAATTTGAATGTGTGGCCGGATCTCGTCGAATGAGCCGCAAGCGGGAATCCGAAACATCAGACTAATAAAGTTCTTGTGCCAGCGATCGTGTCTCCTTCTTCAAGTAGTACATGTGTTCTATTCACCCATTGGTACTTCTTATTCAATCACGACCGAATTAAGAATTAGTAATTTCTGCTGTGGATGCATACAGCCAACCAAGAGCATCTTTGTCTGCGACTGTAATTTGACTTTACTATTAAAATGAAGCGGAGTTGGCAGCTGAATGCACATATCCTTTAGTGGATTGTAGGTTCGTTTTCAGGAATCATTTCCTAAACTGACAAATCAAAGTCCTCGCGGCATCTTCTTAAATTGTAACAAATCTCTGCGAAAAGAGTTCAAGAAGTGGTCTGCTGGAAACCCCTCCTGCTGAATGCCAGTATACCGCTTCGGGGAAATTCAGCTGGCATACTTTTTCAAGTTAAGCAGTACTGCAACAATAATTATGATATATTCATTGAAGGGGGGGGGGGTGGAGGGATAGTTGAACCGGTTTTATTGAACTGTTGACGTTCCAGAGAAGTCGCTCGTCTCACCAGCGTTAAAGCATCAAATACATAAAATCGAACGAAAGTGCCAAAAACGTGTCACGCTAGATGGCCTTGAGCTGGTCGTGTTTTTCTTTCGTTGCCTCGGCCTTCTGGCTGATGATTGGCCGACTTGACAACTGCCCGCGCAATGAGTTATCGTCTCGGTTGAGGGTGGTTGATACTTTGTGGGGGTTGATCGGCTAGGTGTCTACCCGTGAACGTAGTAATCTAGATCTGTGTTGCGTGAGATTCTGAGGCTATTATGCTTCCAGGTATCAGAATTCACCACGATAGGCATATACGACAGCGGTTATTGGAGTCCTCTTATCACTAACCTCACCTTTATCCACAGTACACGCTTAAAGATTAACAGAGGTGATCGTCGCTTATAAGATGGGATTGGGATTTTGAGCATCATGTTGAACAGCCCATGTTACAACAGGGTAATACAAAGCAACCAACAGGCATGGGGGATTCCAAGCTGACAGCCAAAATAGACCACAAAATTGCCAATGGGCGTGGCAGGTCGATGTGACTAAATTGGGCATACTAGCCAATGAGAAGCGTCACAGTGTTATCGTGCACTAGGTGTTTACACGGGTTGCGGTGTGAGTTCGATATAATCAGTTCTAAATTTAGGCGGACTCCCGCCTTTTGCTGAAAACACTTGTGCAAGGCCTCCCTTCACAGTAAGCCATTTCAACCACTGTGGCGTGCAGTGTATGCCGACAACAGAAGTGGGACCACGAGGCCAACTAGGGGTCAGTTGTTTTACGGTTTCGCCGCCCATTATTTGGTTGCATTCCTGAATTGCCAAGTAAGCCTCATCCAATTGGTCGTTAAATGCGATACTTAGATCCCGAGCTACTGTGTGTCCAGGCCACATCACATGAATTGACTTGAAGTCAGAATTAATTGAAGAAAGCCGACCTGCTTGGGCTGCTTAATATTGCTGCTTGCTTTGCTCCTGTTACAGTCTCATTTTTTAAGAAATGTCTCAATCGTCAGGGGACTCACCAGAACTGCTTCAATATCCTCTTGCAGCTGATCTTCGGTAGCGGCTCCGAGCAGGACACAACTGACATGCGGCGATTTGAGACACCACGCTAAAAGGCATCAAAAGAACACCTACTAAGGGTGGGGTCACTTTCACATTGAACAGTGTGTAATCACTGACTGCCCTACCAAGGACCTTGTCTTCGCATTATCAGATGGTATCAGGCAAGACTGATAGTAGTTAATACTACTAGCCCTTCTGTTAGTATCGATCCTGCGCATTTACGGAACTCGTAGGGACTGGGGGAACAAGGACATTTCTGAAGGAAAGAGCCTGCTCCTACTTTTTTCTTTGTTATCTAAATTATATCGGAAGCTCTGAATTTCATTCGGACAGTCTCCTCACTCAAACGCAGTTTTTCAAAATTTTCTCCAAGAGTTGATGCGAAGCACTTGCTCTCCCCATAGCCTTCTATCCCCCCCCAGTGAAGGCTGACAACAGCACGCGTGACTAGCTGCGAAACGGCACGAATAATTACATGTGTCCCGTCTATATCCATATATATATATATATATATATATATATATATAATGTAGGGGGCGCTCACCGATCGTTCATACGGAACTCACTCGTTCCGTTGTGCCTTATGGACTCTCTCTCGAGCCCAACCAGCAGCCGCACAGCGGCGCATGATATATAGGCAGAATAGTCTCC